ACTCCAAAAAAAAAAAAAAAAAAATTAGCCAGTAGTTCCAGCTACCGGGGACGCTGAGGCAGAAGGATTGCCCAAGCCCAGGAGGTTAAAGCTGCAGTGAGCTGTGATCATGCCACTGCACTCTAGCTTGGGCAGTAGAGTGAGATCTCAACTCAAATAAAAAATGCCATCAGGTATGTCAAGCACTTGGCATTCAACAGCCCCTCATTAAGCATTACTTCCTACCTGACCTTTGCATGAAATGTAAAAATTATTATTCATACTAATCTCATAGTTTCCAGCTCCCTTCACAGCTATTCTGAAAGAGGCTTTGCCAGTTTTGTTCCTTCTGGATTTTAACATGTTCAAACAGATGTGAAGTGCACAGGCTCTTGCTCGGCTGTTGAAATTTCTACAGATATCACCTACAGCAGACATTTCAAGCAGCATGAAATCCGAATGTATTTTCCAAGGAGGCTTAGACTGAGAGGCATTATGACTGGAGTTTAACTCTTAATTTTCAGTAATTGTACATATACATGCTCAATTTCACCCAAGTTTAGGTGGAAATGGAATATCAAACATATCTACCCTTTGGAGTCATTCAATTTTGTGTAAGGACCCTCTGAATGTTTATTCTGTGTTAAATAAATGTCACACTTCACCTATTCTGAAAAAAGAGCAGGATGGCTTATGTAAATTTTCCTTGAGTATATGCGTGTTTAAGTGAAATTGAATTAAAAAAAAGAAAAAAAAAGAGGAATAAATTGAATTGAGTCAAAAGTTGCTTTGGGAAATATTCAAGACCATGCAACTTCTATTGAGATAACTGGGGCACCCATGAGAGTCACCCCCAAAGCCCTGGAGAGCAGCCCTAAGAACCAGGTTGACCCCATCCCCTACCCCCAACTCCTCCCTTCCTCTCTGCTGGTTCTGATTGGACCAGAAGTGGAAATTATTCTAGGTTGGGCCATTCAGATTCCTTCTCTCAGGGATTTAGGAGACATGAGGGATTAGGTGCATGGGGTGGGGGGTGGGGGGGGGGTGGAAGACAGGCTGAAAGGTCCAAGACTCAGCGGCTGAGTTCTCCACCCTAACAGCCTTGACGGATCCTAAATGTCCAGAGAATGAGTGAGCAGAGGCCGGGCTGATGAGAATGAATCAGATGTGTGGAGTGAGGGAGACTCCAAAAACCACGCAGCCACGGAGGGGTCACAGAGCAGTGCAGCCTCAGGGGATGGCAAGCAAGGGCCACGGCAGGAGGGCTGTCCAGGGCTGTGGCCTTCTGGCAGGAAGGCTGCCCCCTGGGCAGTGCAGGGCTGCAGGCCTCTAGAGAGAGCGGCTGCCTGGGCTTCCAACAGCCATTTGGCCTTCAGCTCGTTCCCCCTGGCTTCCGTGAGCTCTCCCTGATCACTTACAAACTCCCTTTTCCTTGGGTCCTCTGGGCGGGCTTCATTTACAGCAAAAAATGATCCCTGACCCCAACAGTCCTGCCATGTTAGCCGGGCCAGGCACCACACGCTCCAGCAGACGCTCAGGTGCTTTCTACGAGAGTCGCACCTCCAGAGCACCACTTCAAGGAGAGGGTGGGACGTGGCGCCCTGAGCTCTGGCCGTGTCTGTGTTGGATGTGTCCCCTCACCTGCCTTCCCCTCGGGGGAGGAGCCTCCTGGGCTCAAGTCTCTGGGTTCACGGAGCCTCCCGCGGGGCAGAGCGGGGCTCCCGCGGGGCCGCAGGGCTCACCTGTTCAGACCCTGGCAGTAGCCGATGGCAGGGTTCTGCCAGGAGAAGGCCAGCAACACGCGGCGGAGCTTGTCGGGGAAGCTGGAGGTGGGACAGGTGAAGTGCTTGTTGTTGGGGAAGGTCCGGTTCAGGTCCAGCTCGATCTGGCGGGCGGCGGGGTGCTCGCAGACCTGGCCCCGGCTCAGCAGCGCCTGGTAGCCGCCGGGAGTGCGCAGGCGCCGGACGC